TAATAATTTAGTAAATAAAATCACTAAATTAAAAAATTTACATTTTTTAAAACAAAAATTATTGTTATCATTATTATTAGTATTATTGATAATATTATTATTAAAATTTGTTACTATTATTAGGATATCTAGAAAAAAAACTTTATTAATATACTGTATATAGAAAGTTATATAATCTATAGATATATTTTAGCTATAAATATATATATAAATAGTAATATACAACAAAATATATATATAAAAATAATAATCAAATATATTATTTAATGTGTTTGCATGATATATATATATATTTAGTATATATATATATATATATATACATACATAACATACACTATATTTATAAGCATTAAAACACACACAACAATAAAAAACTTTTGTAAACACACAATAGTTATATCACATAAACTATATATATATATATATATATATATATATATATATATTAAATAATAATAATAATAAAATCATAGTAAATATGACTAATAATTTGTTTATTAGTATTAGTATTTTTCTCGTTTAGTTATATAATAGACAGTATATACTGTATACTACTGTATAAATAAATATATGATATTTATTAAATGCATTAGAAATATAATGATAATAATAATAATAATAATAATAGATCTAATAATAAAACTAATATCTTATATAACAAACATATTATTTTTATATATTTAATATATATATAGTATAGTAATCAATGTTTAGGCAACAAATATACTATATATATATTAAATATAAATTAATATATTGTATGATTTTTTTAAAAATAAAAAAAATTAAGTTATTTTATTACCAAACAAATTATTGTTTTATTATTATTATTATTATTTGTTTCAATGATATTATATTACTAGCATTTTTTAAAAAAAACAGATTATAGATAAAACAAATAAATTAGTTTTTTTAAAAAAAATATAAAATCAATATATTATTATTAATAATAATTTTAAATTAATAATACTTAAAAAAAATTGTCAATAGTTTTTTAATAAAGTAGTTGTAAACTACTATTATTCAACAAAAAATATTATATATATATATATATATATAACTTTTACATACTGTATATTAAAATCAAAATATATGATTATTATATATATATATATTAAATATTTTACACTCAAAAAAAAAACATCAATAATAACCAAAAAAAAAAAATTTTTTAACAAAAATAAGCCAAACTTATAATCAGACTAAACAAATGTGCAGAAAAAAAGTCAACAACAAAAAAATATACTGAAAAAATTTGTGAAACAATTTATTATAATATTATTATTATTATTAATATTAGATTTATTTTTTTTTTTAAGTATTATTATTATTATTATATAACAAAAAACTCTTACCCAAGGATTAGCCAATAATTGATTACAAATTTCTTGATTCAAAAGCATTACTACAATATATAGGACAACAATAATAATAATAATAATAATAATAATAAAATATATGTAAAATTTAATAATAATAATAATAGTATTTATTATAAAAAAAAATTATTGGATATAATACTGTAATTTATTTGTGAGGGGGAGATATAATATATAGATATATATATATATATATAGTTTATATATATATATAGATATAATTATTAAATATTATATAATTTTTTTTCCTATGAAAGACAATAATAAATATATATATATATATATATATAAAACATTTATCACTAAACAACTATATATTTTTTTAAACAACAAAAATAAAATCTTTAATAACAATACTTAACAAAAAAAAATTATTTAATTTATTTTTTTTGTTTGTTTGTTTGAAAACAAATAATAGATAAATATCTATCTCAACAACAAAATGCAATAAACAAAATAAAATAACAACAAAAACAAAAACAACAACAAAATGTATATATATATATATCGATAAAAAATGTATATCAGATTTATTTATTGATTGATTGATTAATAATTTTGCACAAAAAAAAGTTTTACTATTACTTTATGAAATATTTAGCTAAAAATATATATTAATAGAGAGAGAGAGAGAGAGAGAGAGAGAGAGAGAGAGAGAGAGAGAGAGAGAGAGAGATTATAACAAATAGTTATTATATAACAAACTTTTAAAAAATTGATTTCTATTTTAATAAAAAAATTATAAATAAAATATTTTTATATTTTTATTTTTTTTATAATAGACTATAATATATATATATAAACTTTTTAGACAATTTATATAGAAATACTACAGTTTGTATATAACTAACAAAATAAAAATTAAATAAAACATTCAAATAATCAAAAAATAATAATAAAATAATAGATAGAAAATAATAGGCAACAAATAAATTATAATTTTATAAATATATTATTATTATATAATAGTACTGTTAAAAAAATAATAAAATAGTTTTCATATCTAAATTATATAATAATAATATAAACTATTATTATTAGAAAATTAAATAATAATAATTAAATAATAATAATAATAATAAAAACAATTGTTTACTTTAACGTTAAATGTATGCATAATAGGCAGATGTTTTATTTTGGGCACTATTTTAATAATAATAATAATATTACTATTATTTTTTTATATACCATTATATAATATATATATACATATATATATACATATATATATAAAACAACACATACAACAAAAATGTTATCCTAACTACACAAACAAACAATAACAGTGATATTAATATATATATATATATATATATATATATATATATATATATATATATATATATATATATATAAAAAAATATTAATATATATATATATATATTATATATATAACTGAAAAAACAACACACAAAACAAAACAACAAAAACTACAAATTGCAGTCAAAATAAAATAAAATATAATAATATATATATATATAAAAACACAATAAAACAAAATAACTAAAACAACAAAACATCAACAAAAAAATATATATCTATATAATGGATATAAAATAATATATAATTTCAATTTACTATACAATTGTTTTTTATTTGTTGTTTGTTTGTTTGTACGGCGTTTCCACACAAATGTGTTATTATTATTATTATTATTATCGTTATTATTATTATCGTTGTTGTTGTTGTCTCTCATATATATATATATATATATAAAGTTTACACAAAAAAAATTACAACAATTTTTTGTTTGTTTGTTGGTTTGTTAGTCACATAAAATAAAATTACTAATACCTGTATATATACAGTATATATACTGTATATATATATATATATAATTAGTTGTGTGTCACCACAAAAATAATAAAGTTTTTATAAGTTATTATTACAGTATTATTAGTTGTAGTTTACTGGACACACAGTTAGCTTTTATCTCCAAGTGCTTAATGCGTGGATACCTCTCTCTCTCTCTCTATCTCTCTATATATATGTGTGATGAGGAACGGGATGTTATATATACTGTTTGTACTGTATATATATATACAGTACAGACACACACACATGTAGTTAATAAAAGTTTTTTGTAGAAAATATCTTTTAAAATAATAACTTTCAAAGATATATATATATATTGAATGTATTGTATATTAGTTTTTAAATATCATATAATAGACATATTTATATACAGTATATATTAATATATACTGTAAATATCAACTAAAAAAAATGTGTTAAACATTTGAAATGTTTTTTTTTTAAACACACTTACAAAACAATTACACAATTATTATTATTTTTTAAATAAAAATAAATTAATTGATTAATTGATTAATTAATTGATTAAGTAGCGCACAAGTAGTTTATTATATTATTGATGTATCTACCGGTGCTTCAAATAATATAAGTTTGCATAACAAACAAACATATAAAAAAAAAGTTATATATGTATTACTATTGCTGACAACATACCCGTCCTTTCATATGTATATAACAACACAACACACATATAAATACAGCAATAATATATATAGACACGACTTGTATGTACGATAGCTTACGTATGACTGCCAGCCAGAGAGTAACTGACTGACTGACTGCCTGACTGTGAGAAAGAGGGAACGGTATGTACAGTACAGTACAGTACACTATGTATGTATGGGTACCTAAACTACTGGTATATACTGGGGAAAGTTGTTTTTTGCTCTCTCTCTCTCTCTATGTATGTATGTGTGTGTGTGCTATGTATATGTGTATGCGTTTTGCAGCAGCAGCACCACCACCACTGCCACCACTACCTACTACTACTACTACTACTACCATCATCATCATCAACACAACATCAATGATCGGCATCATCATCATCATCGATGGCATCACCAACACATACCAGTGCACCCTAACAATACATATATATATATATATATATATATATACACACACATGCGCTTCCATAGCATACAGTTCCCCTGGCAGTCTATATAGTTGCTATAATAATAATAATAATACTACTAATAAATAGCAGTAATCATAGAAATAATCTATTAGTTTATATATTAAATGTAATTTTGTTGTTGTTTTTGTTGTGTTGTTTGGCCACAAATAAAATTAGTTGATTATTATTATTATAACTATACCTAATGTTGTTGTTGTTTATTGTTTTTTTTGTATATATATATATATACAAAAATTATATATATTTTTTTTATGCACACAACAAACAAAAAATTTTATCAAGCTAATAAATAAATATTATCACTGATATTATAGAAATTATTATTTATTTATTGTATCAAACAATATATAATTGTAAATAAATTTTCTACAACAACAAAAATATATATATATATATATAACGGTATATATAAGTTATAAATAACTTGAAAACACTGTTTTTTTACAACAAAATAAAAATATTGTTTCAAATTTCAATGTTGAAAATAACAAAAATATTTATTTTATTTTTTTTAAATTCAGGTATACTATAGCAATAAAGTTTTTATTTTCTTACAAAAATAAATTATATGTAATATTATCACAATAGGTAAATATCATATTATTATTATTATATCCTATCAATTATTTTTTTAAAAAAAATCAATTGCTATTTAATAAAAATGATTTCAATAATTAATTCTAGAAAATTGTTCAAAAAAAAAATTAAATAATATATATATTAAAAATATTTTTTACATTTACAAAAAACTTTATGGACTCACAAAAAAATAATAAATCAATAAATATATGCTAATTGTAATTATTGTTATATAGAAATATGTATATAAAATAATATATTTTTTAGTAAATAAAAACACATTTTTGATTGTCTATTTATTAGACACACATACGATAAAATTTATTATAATTTTTTTTATTTTTATACATTTTATTTGTTATAAAGATATTTGATTTCTAAATGCAACTAATATTACATCCACCAGAAAAAAAATTGATAAAATAAACTAAACTAAAAATAATATAATATAAACACACAAACATTAATACAATATATATATATATATAAATATATATGCATTATATATATATCGCATATATATATATAAATAATAAATGGAAATTTGTTTATATGCCCTCAAACATAGCAGTCTATATATATACTATAATATATATATACAGTATATACTGTATATATATATATATGTGTTTGTATGTTTATATAAATGTATGTATGTTTTTACTACTACTAGTAGTAGTAGTAGTAGTTATTTTGTTTAGGGGGTCATCATCGAAAATTTTAGTTATCTACCCCCCCTTCCCCATACATCCCCAATCTACCAATATCAACACACACACTGTATATATATATACAGTATATCCATGTATGGACGGACGGGTAGATGCAAAAACAAACAAACTTTATATATATATACTAAATTATATATATATATATATATATATCTATTTTTTATATTATTATTTTACTTCAATGTGTACTATGTTTTTASTATAGATTTTGTTTTGTTTACGCTCTCTCTCTCTCTCTCTCTCTCTCTCTCTCTCTCTCTCTCTCTCTAAACTCCTAAACTAAAATCTCTTAAAAATATATTGTGTTCAATACATATAGAGATAGATAATACAGTATTATCTATATATATATATATATATATATAGTATATATTGTGTATATGTGTATGTGTGTGTATGTTTATGTGTGTGTGTGTGTATGTGTGTGTGTGTATGTGTGTGTGTGTGTGTGTGTATGTGTGTGTGTGTGTGTGTGTGTGTGTGTGTGTGTGTGTGTGTGTGTGTGTGTGTGTGTTATTGTTAAGGGGATCTTAAAAACACCACAACAATAACAACAACAAAAAATAAAAAGTTTTTTTTTGTTATTATTATTATTTGTGCCACAAATTCCTTACTGCAAAAAAAAAGTTTAGCACAAAAAATAAATAAAATAATAAATAAATAACTAATAAAAATAAAGTAGATTTTTTTTCCTCTCTCTCTCTCTCTCTCTCTCTCTCTCTCTACTAGTAGTAGTATAGCTATAGTATAGCTAAACATGAAATTGTGTGCTAAAACATATATATACAGTATATATATATATATATAGTATACAACTACTCCTCCCATATATACAGTATATATATATATATATATATATATATATATATATATGTTTTTATTTTTATTGTTGTTGTTGTTGTTTATAATGTTAGGTCCCGGTGCCCGAAAAAAAATATATATCTATCTAATACTACTACTACTAGTATATAGATTTATAAAACTAAACAATAATGTCTATCATTATCTTGTTTTTTATTAGTTTTTTTGTTGTTGTTATTGTTGTTGTTGTCTAATATGAAAAAATTTATTTTTGTTGTTGTATACTTAAAAAACATACTAACATTTTTATTTTATTATTATTATTTTTATTTTTTTTAAACATTAGATAATAGATTTTTTGTGTGTGTATTGTTTGATGGTCTAACAAAAAAAAACATAATAATAATAATAATAATTTTTTTTTTGGTTAAAAATTATACATTGTTACTAGTTTATTATTATTATTTAATAATAATAAAATTAATTATATATAAATAAATAGTAAATTTCTACATTGTTAATTTTATTTAATTTATTATATATAATATTATATTTATATAATAATAATAATATGTTAATATATATTATAAATAGACATTAAATTATTAAATAGATAACCTTGATAATAATTAAAAAAATTAGCATACAGTTTAGTATAACCTGATTTTAAAACTTTATATTAAAACTATATATATAATTGTTTTTTAATTTTTTTTCAACTATAAAATAAATCTATCTAGATCCATTTATTTGACCAAAACTTTAAGACCAAAATAATAATAATTTAATAATTATTAGCTAATTATTAATTATTATTATTATTATAGCATATGTAGTACATATCATGTAGTATTAGGTCAGTATGTCTATGAAATATATATATATAGTATTTACTATACTGTATGTATAGTATATAATTGATAGTTCATAGGGAACGGCTGTATTTGTCAGAGAAAGAGAGAGAGAGAGAGAGATCCCTAACCATATGTATAACCAAACCAATGATTTTTATAATCACTGATAATCATTATAATGTTAGTGTTGTTTGTACTGTATA